TTTCCCTTTATTTACCTGCAAGATGTCCTTGCTGATGCTCAGAATCACAGAGGGAGAAGGAAAAATAAGAAAACCTGCATAAGTAGAAACCGTTACAAAGAGACCAACTGCACATACTCCAACTAAGAAAGAACAGTGCCTTTGGAGGATCCATTATACCGAATAAACCCTGCATAATTTTGCCAGGGTCACAGAGTGAGTCATTAGCAAGACGGCACTAAGACAGAGGCATCCTGATTTTTGTAACTACTCTGATTACTTTAAGACCCCAATTTAAAAGGCCACAGGTTTGTGCTGGCAGCACAGTCGTGGAGATAGCTACTCACGGCTTTACAAATTGGTTTCCTTGCAATCATCTCACTACTGTGGGCCTGCAGCCCTTTTGTGTTTTGTCTTTTTTACTTGTCTGTGTTCTGTTCAAAATTATTTATGTTTTCTCTAGGAAAAACAAAGCAAGCCAGTGATGAGCGGAAGTTGCTCCTCTGCCTTCGCACGCCCACACCAGGGCTGCACGGGTCTCCCCACAGCCCCGGGCGCTCAGGCCAACTCTGTGCTCTGGGTCTGGGACCTCCCCTTGCCAGCGTGTTCCTGCCCGCCAGCATCAAGCACCCTTCATACGCTCATCACCTAGCGCTGTGGCTGTGGATTGTTCTTCAAGAGAAACTTCAGGATGCTTAAAACCAACCAGTCGACCCAGGAGAGCATCTGAGGGGAAAAACTGAAATTGCTTTCTTTTCTTTTCTGGCTAAGTTTTTCCTTATTGTTGCAGTTCTCTTTCAGAATGGGGAGTCTGTAGGTGGCTACTTTGGCATCATCATTAAAGACAAAGCAGTTTAAAACCTGCATTTAGCTGGTTAGCCTTAGGCTGCCAAGTTCCCTCTCTGGTAGTAAATGGAGAGTGTTTCTTGTACTTATTCTAACAAACAGTGAGGGTTTTTTTTTTCACAGACTTCTGTGGTGTTTGCACCCACCATGTAGCCCAGCAGAGCTCATTGGGAGAGACGAGTGTCTGGCTAGACCCATCCAGTCACCACGTCACTCTGGTTAAGTGAAGGCTGGTTCAATATAGACAAAAAAAGTAACTGTGGAAAATGGTGACTTGACACCTTTTAGATAGAATTAATACAGATATTTTCTGAGCAAGAGTAGTCCATCGTTTGTGTTATAAATGCACTTTTATATGTCACTAAAATAACTATTTGTAATTTCTCATTACAACCCTTAATGCCTGACTGAAAATTATTCCAGTAGGTGTGCTTCAAAAGGTACTGCCTCTTCAGAGTGGGCACACCTTTAGCTGGCTGACACATTCATGGCAAAGGTGTAATTAATTTTAAAGTGGAAAAGCAGCACAGGCTGCAGCATATGACACCTATATGTGTTTGACTCTTCATCTATAAAGACATCCAGTGAAAAAACTTCACATCAGTAAAAAGAAGTCTCAATTTGCTACTGCACTAGAAAAAATACATATTGAGCCATCATAGGTTTGGGGTTATTTCTTTTTTAACACCGTGTTTCTTTTCCCATTAAAAGATTTTTTTTTTTAGTAAGATACAACTAGGTGCCATTGTATTGTGATAACATGCACAGTAATTTAAAATGATTAATACCTTGACAGTGTAATCTCATAACAAATCATTTTTATCCATTATCTAAAATCAACTTTTAATTAAAAGAATACGTTATATTTGTTTTCTGATACTAAATTACCTTGATTATTTTAAAATTACGTGTGATGTTGGCACATACTAAATATATGGCATGTTGGGCTTTACTGTCTGCCTGCAACGTGAATTTCAGTTATTAAGCATTCCTAAGTATTCAGGAATGGCCTGCTATGTAGGGTTTGCAATTAATTTTGCCAGGAATTATATCTGTCTTTTTGGAGGCTACATTTTAGAAGGCACACACTATCGTCTTTAAAAACTGTACTATATTTGCACAAAATGGGTATTTTTCTAACCTTAGCAAGAAAGGTTTGCAGGAACCAGAGCCCAGCTGAAACCTGGACCACGCTCTGATAAAGGCTTCATATGGGCATATATTACGCTTTTTCAAATTCAGTGCACCTGTTGGTGTGTCTGTGGGCAACCCTGACTCTGTACGATACTCTCCCACCGCGTGCCAGTTACTCTGATGTTTTATATTTAACTTAGGAGGCTGAAAGTCGTCTACAGACACTCTCAAAACACGCATGTCGACGTGTGGCTGCAATGAAAATGGAAGGACAGCTGTGTGCGTCGCCATCCACCTCTACAAGTCCCCTGTAAGGCTGAGGAGAGGATGTCTCTGCACCTTCTTCCCAGAGCGATTAAAGGCAAGCAGTTTTTCCTCTACCATAATCCCAACAACACCACGCCTACGACTAGCTTCGCTAATAATGAAATCAGACATGCAGTACATTGGAATATTTTATTTTGACTTTACATGCGGTGTTAAAAACCCAAAGAACGTATTATTTACACATCCACAATACAAGTTTACAAGATATCTATACATGTTAAAGTACTCTATAGTATAGAGCAGCTTCACTTAAGGGTTACTTTTTTTTATGCCGTACCATTAAAAAAGATACAATCTGCGTTTACCTTTGCACAAATGGATAAAGCATCTTTTATTATTAAATTAACAGAATAAGGACTAGGTTGAATGTTAGAAATTTCAACATAAATACTGAGAGAACTCACATTACCATCTACAAGGCAGCACAATGTTACAGGAGGTTATCAGGGTTCACATACACTTATCTTTCGGTTTCACACAAGTCTGTATTAATATTTGTAAAGTGAAGTCGGATCAGTTTGTGTCTTTTGACAACCGAGTACATTTTTAATAGTTATTAATCTGTAGTGTTTTAGTTGCAAGACAGAAGTGTTTAGGAAGAGAGATCATTGATTTTTGGATCCAGAGGTCTCAGGAAATAAATGTCCCTTACAGCCTTACAAGAAAAAATGACTACTTCTATCCTTTATTCTTTGTTCTGCAACAGAGATCCAGTTTTCAGTGACTAACCTTTTCTCCCCTTTGAACAGATAATATAAATCTCTACCGTCTCTGAAACCCACTGCAGTTATTTGTCCTGCTAATTCATGAATATTCCTCTGCCATGGTTATTTCTATAGTTATGTTCAATAAACAATGTGGTAGTGTGTAGTTTGCAAGCTAAAATAGCCATCTGTGTCGAACATCAGCTGCAAGTGGATACTGTAAAACCTACTAAATAGCTTACACAACTTTAGCAGGTGTTCCATTACCCTAGAAACCTCATTTGATTTCACATTATAACTGTTTGATCCTTTGGAGAGCTGGAGTGGAATGTTTATCATGGTAAGGTGATTTAATGCTGCTGTCTTCTTGGATTGTAGGCTGCCTTTAGTCACCATTAATTATTCTTGCTTTTTATCTTCCTTCTTTTTTTCTTTTTGGGGTGCTGTTGAGAGGTTTTACAACTGGCACTCAGGAGATATGTGCTATTGTGAGAACACTTGACAGATTTATTTATTTTTTTTTTAGTACTTTTATCATTTGCATGAATAAGGCACAAAATGCACAGATTCAGGTAAACTCACACATAGTATTTACAGAATATTGTCATTACCTGCATGACTTTGGAAAAAAACCTTACATTACACAACAAAAACAAATTGATTGCACTACTGTTGAGTTTTCACAGACTGCTTCTGCCAGGCCAATTAATGTTTCTTCTTTTTTATTGACAAGAGTCTATCAGTGTGTAGGGCATTATTAAATGCAACAAAAACGTACCCTTCTCTAGTTACACAGGCCTTTGCCAAGTGAATTGATTATTAGCTGCCCTCAATGAGAAGTACAGGGGCTCAAGTTCACAGTGGCCAGGTATTGGATGGAGGCACTGTGGAAACACAGTAAAGCTCCCCCGTTCCAGCCCGAAGCACTAGATTTGAAATGCACAGCTCTGAATCAATAGCAGCGTAACAGAGTTATGAAGAATTAAACGTATCTGCACTCTTTCACTGGGTGACTATTTCATCAAGGTGTTATTCAGAAGGCTGGCAGAGATGCGCAGTTCATCCTTAGCTGTCTCCAAACTGAACCCAACGGGCTGCAGAAGGCAGAGTCATCTGTTTGTTCAGTCATGCTCAATGTAAACAATTCCATAGCATAAAAGATGCAATGGGAATCTAAGTACATCCTAGTGTGTACAGTACACACGCACATCCACACACACGCACAGCTTTATCTGTGGCACAAACAAAATGCCACACACATGGAGAGAAAAAAATAATAATGCTACAGTTGGGCCAGAGACTGAATTCCAGCAAATTGATTATTAACCCAGATATTCATTGAGACATTACCATTTTCTGACATTTGTGCAAGAGGCAAGGTGAATGCATACATATTAAAATGTTCACATTTAATGGGAAGGACCACGCTTAATGGCAGTCTAAAATGGAACCCATTTTTCAAGTATTTGCTTACTGATTTTTTTCCCAATAACTTTTTTTTACCTATTTAGAACAGTAAAGTAGCCCCCACCCCATTGTGCTACATGTCTCCTTAGCTCCAAACAAAAGAAATGTAATGACCAGCACTTTCCTTTGTTTTTTTGTTTGCTCTCAGCAAGTACACGAAGTCTTGCTATAGCTATACGTGGCAAGACACAGATGTTGCTGAAGTACAGACAGTTTCTTTGGCCACTTTGTTCTCTTTAATAACAAGCAAGTCTCTGTCTTACGTGTCTACCACATCATCTCACAACCTGTACAGGTCGATGCCACGCTCATTTTTAGCACAGACATGTCCTAGTAACTGTATTTGTTCAGTGGTCTGACTGAAGTTGTCTGAGGAACAAATGAGGGTTTTGGGGGCACGTCAGGTTTTAAGGAGGGTGTCCTCTTTATTCCTGTTCGAGGAAGGGTGCCGTTGCTCGTGTAACTGCTTTGCCTGGACAAGGAAGGCTGGAGGTGAACGCTGACAGGCGTCCCTTGCATGTAGTCCATCTTTGTGCCTGCCGTGGGAGGCATGTAACCCCCACGAGTAATACTAGGCTGTCTGGATAACAAAACACCGTTTGGTGAGTTTAAGTTTTTAGGAAGGGCAGATATTGAATGCCTTTGTGAAGAATTTTTGTGATAACCCCTCTGCCTTTCCAAAGAGGTCATCGGTACTGCAGGAGTGGTGGGAACGTCCACGCGTTTTGTGGGGCTGTTTCTCGGAAGAGTTGATGGAGGAGAGTATAAAGATGCCTCCCTGTTGGGAACCTTAGGTGGGATCTCAGACATATTTCCCATTGGATCCAGCATTAAAGTCTGGTGGGCCATTTGAATATCTCCCATAATTGCTTTGGGATTACTAGTAGTTTCATTTAAGTGTTTCAGAAAATCATTCAGGGTGTTCCTGGAATCAACAGATCTCCTGTGGTCTCTTTTGCTGGATGGTTTTGTAAGTGGATGATCAATATGTTGCATCTTTTTGTCAGCCTTGTGCGCATTAGAATTTGAGAAAGATGTATTGTAATCATGGGTAGCATTGGGAAGAACAATAGCACTAGGAATATGTCCATGACTTAGAGGAGAGTGGGGTGGAGGACTGGAAGGAAAAAACTGAGGGCTTTTTAGTGGGGTTTCCTTTCGTGAAGCGTTGAGGTTACTATGTGCTTTGTCCGACTGACTTTTCATAGCCTGCAGAGTCTTCTGTTGAAGAACCGGTGTAGATTCAGGAGTGGGAAGCGCAGCTAATTCCGGAGGCTGGCCCCTGTGGTCGATCATCATGGACTTCGTATCACTGTTTGGTGGCAACTCCTTTCTGCTCGTCAACAGGTTTGTGTAAAGTTTGGGTGAATCAATGTTTTGTTGATATTCCTTGACTGGACTATCAAACAGCCCGTTCAGTTTAGCAAAGCTCCCACTGGAGTCAGTACAGGACTGAGCCGATTCTGCATCTTTGTGTATTTTTCTGGATTTCCGTACAAATATATCCCGGTAACAGTAAACGGCCACTCCCGCAATAAAGGCTCCCAGGACAAAAGCGGCAAAGACACAAGTGATTAGGACATTCATATGTACCATTTGGTTGGACTCTCCCGATTGTACTTCCCACCTTACACCTGCAAAAGACATGCAGCATATCATAAATCTCCAGGTACTTCATACCGAGACATTTCAGAAGATGGTAGCCTCCCTCGGGGAAGTGTCTATTCAGTGGTTGTAAGTGCTCTGTGCCTAGTGTTAGTGTGACTCCTGCAATCCACAGCACTGGGGAATGCAAATAATTTTATAAACAAAAGTGACTGTGTGAGCATTGATCAGTCTAAATGAAGACACTCCATTTTCTCTGATGATGAGGAATGCTTGTCAAAGCTTCTCTCCTCATACTACGTTCGGTTTCGCATGTCCCCAAATTTCCTTAAAGGCTCGCAAATAGGGGCCTGTATGTTATTAACATTAATGATTTCTGCTGGAAAATTGAGGTTAGAAGGTGCTACTGGGCCAGACAGCAATTAATAACTCATGGATGGATTTCTCTCTCATTTTTCTGCCCAACTCATAAATCAGTATCAAAAGAGAGACGGGATTATGCAAATGTTGTGTAAAACTGTATAATGTACATACTGCATTGTTATAACCATGTTAATGTGATACGGTGCAAAACTTGTAAACTAATACATCCATGGGTTGCTAGGAGTGGCACACCTTGCATTAGGTAAGTGTACGATTTCAGAAGTTCAAGATTATGTCACTCTATTACAGCACTAATTTTTCTTTTTTTTAATCAATAATGAATATAGACACTTGCATAACATTACAAAAAACAACTTGCAAGGTTAAGTTATTAGAGAAAGTTAAAATTTAAGAAACTTTTAGCTTAGACCAAGAAGTTGAATATTGGATTAGTTTTTTATTTGTGTATTAACAAGCTCCCTTTGTTTTTGAGATTTTTAAAGCAACCACAGACATCTTGCAGCTAAGACAATGTTAGTTTTTAATGAAAGTAATTCCGTTAACTATCCCAAGGGATGTTAAAATGAAAGAGCAAGAAGGAAGGAACAGATTCACTTTCGTTAGAGGCAAGGCCTTTGAACATTGTTAATGTTCAGGGTTATAGGTTTTAATGGCACTGTGCAGAAGAAGAAAGAAAACATGAGTAAAGTTCACTAATAGCTGTGACACAAAATGTGATTCAGAACCAAGAGCAAATGATAACAAAAACTTAAAGCGAAATGGAAAATAACTGCAACAAATTAAAATGACAAATGCACTGCCATAATGGCTGATAGGAAACCTGATATGTTTTGGCGAATGGTAATAGAACACAAATGGGTTTTGGCTGGTGAGATTTTCAGTAAATACAGAATTGTGCAAACATGTCTGTCACCTGGCTATTCTGTGTACTGAGGAAGACTTGTGTTAAGTTTTGGTTATGGGTTTGGAAGCTTCTCGATTCTTTGGTTAACTGCAATATTCCAACTGAATTAAAGTCTTTGCCATAAAAGCCTAATCGCTGAAAGAATGGCTACAGAATGGTGAGTTACAGGCAGGATATGTTTCAATTTGTGTTCGGCTTAAAACCTGTGTGCGTCTCTCTACGCACTGTAAACTGTTGCTTATACCCAGAGAATAAAAATTCAGCACATTGTTACTCAGATCTGACCCATGTTCTTCAGAAACATGCTGCAGGCAGGCGGAGTTTGGGGTATGCCCCATTTAATGCAAGGATCTGTCATGGAGCTGTGCTTTGTTTTCTGTCTCCACACCCCACCCTCCACCCCCCAATTCCCACCCACGAACCAAATGGAAAAAAACCCCAGAAAGCTCTTGTAAGCAACCATTCGTGAGGACTAATAGTGGTACCCAAACTAGACTGGTTTGAAAACAAGCCCCAGAGGTGCAGATAAGTTTGAATGTAATTTTTTAAATGCATCCAGAACTCCCACTGATTTTAATGGGAGCTTTGGAGCACCCCAGAAATAAAAGGCTGAGCTTATTATCTGTGTTTCCCATTATAAGCTCTAAGCAGCACTTTGTACACCAGATAAGTAGGTATGAAAAACATGATTGCACTGTCTGCATATTCACAGGAAATGGGTGTAAAATATAGCCCGACAATCATGGCTCTTACACTTAAGGCTTAGACAATGCTGGGACTATCAGGTTTCCATTCAGCTGCAACGTATTCCCTGGTAAGGCCTTACCCTTTGGGACACCTGATAATGGATCAGAATAATCAGAAGTGTTTGGGTCATCTTGAACTACAAATTTCCGAGAGCCAGTCACTTTAGGTTTCCAGGAACCAATCACTTTAGGTGATATAACTGGGATACTTGCCATTGTGGTAATGGAAGCTGAGGAGAACTCCATGTCTGTGGTGGCAAACAGATTTTTATTAATGTGTATTACAGTCAGGCTTTCCTCACTGTTTCATGGCACATCTAAGCTACAGCTGGAGACAGTATTTAATGGGAGTTACACGTCAGAGCAAAATGTGACCCCCTACACTCCGCAGAAGTACAGAGGGCTAATTAAAAGCAATTGGTTCAAAACTTCAAGTACAAAAAAAAATACATTAAAACATCAACAGCTGCTACCCAAAAGCCAGAGAAGTCAAACATGAAAGCAGTGCAAAAGTTTAAGTAAGCAACTGGTGGAGGTGAAAAGCACAACTTATTCTACTTAATTGCTATATTCTTCACTGGAGACAACATACTTGACTGCCTTTTAAACATCTTCAAAAAAAAAAAGTTACTTGGAAAGATACACGCTCATGACAGGTTACGCCTGAGAAACCAGATCAGCTCCATTAGTGCTATTATGGTATACCAGGAACTGCTGAATGCGCCATTTCTACACGTGGGGATGAAAGGAATGTTTTTAACCTCTATTTTGTAATGGTTCCTAAGGAACAACGTTTCGTAGATTCTGGCTCCTCTGCAGTACATTTGCTGAACCACCATAGCCTACACGAAAATGCAGGAGGAGGAAACACATCAAATTGGATTTACAATCCAAAGTCTACTTTGCACACTCAAGTACTTTGTGTTCACTGTCCCCATAGGTTTAGGCATGAATGTCTATGGCTCGAGATCTGACTGGGATATGCACTTCAAAAGCACGCTCATTCAGGAGTTGAAAATAAGGTTCAGTTGTTATCTGTGTCCTGAAATACCACTTTGAAAATTCCGTTGATAAAGTAAACACTCATGCAAGCAAGGTAGCATTTCCATGTAACACACTTTTGTTTTGTTTTGCTTTCCTGAGTGAGTCTTTAACTTACGTTATGGGTAAATATATCTGGAAAATATTTGTCTCAACCCTTACTTCTTGTCAAAGTTCCAGAAGTGCAAGTATCATTGGAAACCAGAACAAAACAATGTTCTTGGTTTTGCCGCACTCTTACAAATTTAACATACAAATAGATTATTTTCATATCTGTCAGTCAGAAATGCACCCTTGGTTTGAAAGCAGAGACCAAGTTCTGGGAGCAAAGACTGGAAAATAAGGGCTCGGTCTTGCTGCTGTTGAAGTCAACACAGGTTCTGCTTTTGAGTTCAACAGAGGAGTACTGGGTCCTGTCTCCCTGAACACCAGGGGCTGATGGTGGAAACGCTATTAGAAAAATCACTGAAGGAGAAAAGGATGTGAAAGTCCATCTGACAACAACGCATAAAGTTTTTTTCTAATCCACCTTTGTCTACACAAGTCCTCATTCAGCTACACAGTTTGCGATGTTAATTTTTTTCCATTAGCACAAACTACTTGAAACATTTCAAAAATAAAGAAATACACATTTTAGAAAATGTGTATTTGTGCAAAAAGCTTGCTGGGAAAGAAGGAAAAGAGGAGAGGAGAGGTAGGGAGGAAAATGATGAAATTGTGCCATTCATCTACTAGAGATGACCAGTAGGGGCATTCACAAATGCATGGCTGGGGATAAAGAGTAAAGCTTAGTGGACTTTCGTGCAGTGAAGATGTCATCTATGTTAATCAGGCTCTTTAATAAAAGATGTCTCAATAAATAATGAGCTGTTAACATGCGGCTACACAGGGTGAAGTGCTGAGTGAGAAGAGTCTGACTATCTTTACCATCAGTGGGAACATGAGTAAAAGCACAAAAATGGAGGATTGCCAACTGTGCAAAAGGAAGGAAAAAAGGGCTGAAAATGCTGAACTGAAGGAAAGTAAAGGTCATTAATTCAAAAAAATTAAAAAAAACTAACCAGATGTTGGGTCGCCAAATATTTTGTAATCTGGTGTAGCTGTAGTAGGCAAAATTTCTAAAAGAATTAAAGGAACAAGTAATCAGTAAAAAGTAACAAAAAGAAAGCAAAAGATCTCAAACCTGAGTAATGGAAAACAAAAACTAAAATATTACTGGTTACAAAAAATAAATTCTTCAATACTTTGCTGTAGACCCCAAATAGTTGTAAACTGGTGAAGGAAAGACAAAACTCTGCCACCCAGGACCAAAAAGCTCAGCTTTGTGAACATTCACAGGAACACCAGGTGATGTGTTCATCATGTTACTGAAAAGCTCATCATAAATTTAACATCCATCGTGAGGTGTGGCCACAGATTACTGCTGAGACATTACAAACGAGCAGCAATGACTATGCCTTACCATGGCAGTCCCCAAGCTGCGCTGTGTTGCCATATTCGACATCTTGTACATATCCTCCGGTGCTGTGGTTGTATGAAACAAACAAAGAGAACCTGCAATTAACAGTATTAGTAGGGAAACAAATGGTGACTTTTTTTTCTGGAAGCAGCAAATGGAAACATATACAAGAGCTAAAGTATGGCCCAAAAAATTGTTTTACAAAATGCACAAGTTAATTATAACCAGGCTTTGAAACTATATATGGGCTTACACCAGCAAATAGAAAAAAAAATGCCTTTTTTTCAGCAACCTCATCATGTCTTCTACATTGGGTGAGCTCTTGGTTTTAGATACAACCACCCAATTATACTAGTTAAAGTTTGCACTGGCCTGCTACAAAGGCCTCTTTTTAAGATACAGCTGCTAATGCACTGTATATTACAGACTTGATTTGTACAGAATGCCTTTGGTATGCATATATATCACCCAAGCTCCAGCGCAGAGGCAAAATCTTACTCTTTTCCCACTGCGAATCCTGTGCTTTCGTATTTGCAATTGACTGTGCCCTGGCCTTGAGCACGCCCGGGAGGGATACTGTGTACTGTCCTCTCCCAGCTGCTCAGCTTTGCAGGCAGCAATTTCTTGCCTTCCTGCTTCCAACTGCTCTTCCTACAGGTCTGCTTGTCCACCCCCACACATATAAAACTCAAAGTATGTCTTCACCTAGAGATTGCAGAATTAGGTCAGACTTTAGCATTCTGTTCTCTTACATACACAGTACACTGAAAAAACATCCCTAAAAAAAATGGAGATTTATTAATTGAGTCCAAGGGAACAGGCTATGAGCTCGTGTGGTCTGTAAAGCATAGGTAGAGATGCTGGGATAATATGAAAAGCAGTACTTACAGCATGCCTGGTGTCACTCTTCCACATGCCTCGTGGTCTAACCAGCCACAGTATGGGTCCCGTGAAGCAATACATGCCCTTGCAAGAGAAAAACCCCAAAAAATCATGCATTTTTTACTTCCTTCCCAAGAGATGTTGGTGCCCTTCCTTTAAGGGGGAGGTTCAGGAATGGGGCCGTACTTTTTACATGACCCGTGACGCTCACACCGACTCAGAGGAATTCTAATGACGCAGCTGGAGAATGCCACGAACAGAGCATGGTGGTCTCTATCCAGCTGAAGGGAAATGACTCTTCTGTCCTCCTCGCTCTCAGCATTACACCTGTTCAGCAAAAATAATGGGAGGCCATTATTTTAGTAACTGTAGTACTTTATACAGCACTTACACTGCGAACATTTATTTCTTGTCTGTGTAGATACTGAAAAGAGACTTTTTACGTATATAAATGTAACTTACTAGTCTTTGCTGAGTGATTTCTAAACAAACCTATGTGTTATCAAATGCCAACTTCTGGCTCTTATTTACAGCTAGGTGACAATTTTGCTGAACTACGTAGGAAAAAAAAGTCCAGATCCATTTTCTTTGTTCTCTCAGTCGACATAAATATCTTGACAGAGCAGAACAGGAGTCCTGTACTGGACGCCTGTAGAGTCTAATTGGAACGCTTCCATTTCCAAATTGTTTGTGCCAGAATAAACAAGTTTAAAATGATTAGATGTAGTTTATACATTATTGGTCACTCTTGAGAAACCCTCAAGATAAGCTCACATCATTTCTTTTTAACAGCAGCAGATAGCTCTGACGTTTCATTTTCAAGAAGATGTGTATCTATTTGCGGAAGAATTAGACTGTATCACTGACGTCACTGGAGTGGAATTAGGTTGCTCACTCAACCCATGCAAAATGGCAAGTAACCAAATATTTTCAGGTTATTCAACATGTGGAACACGGTGAAATGACAAACAAGTGGTGATGTTGGTCATAATGAGTTGGTTTTCATTTACTATAATTTTTTTTAGCTAGGTCCTTTTTTACCAAGGACCAGATGAAGAGCTTAGGTGTTCTGCTAATACTTACTTTGCATGATTATACGCTTCAATCTCTTCCAGTAATACGCTGTCATTCAAAGAGAAAGGCCTGGTCTTTGCCAAGATTTTAAGTACTACTCCTGCTTCGGAGCCAACAAACATGACTGTGTAGTTCTGGTAGGGTCCAGCAGCGTGGTCTACAGCAATTGCTGTCAATCTGTATCTATCAAGACCAAAAGGCGTATCATTAACAGCGCGTTTTCTTGTTTTCCTTTTCACGTGCATTATTTTTGAATGGTGTCATACCTGACACGTGTTTTGGTAAACCAGGGCTCCTCGATGACTGAGGGAACAGCTGAATCCATCAAAGGATGAGATTTGATGAAGGAGAGTGTTTCATCAGGGAAATCAATGGAGGTTTTGTAAGCCTCTGCTAGGCCGTGTTTTGCACAGCAGCCAGGTCTGAAAGGAGAACAACATTGTTTTCCTCTTGGTATTTTAGTTAATGAGAGAAGGCAGACTCCTAATGAGCATCCTTACGGCTGAAGTGTAAAGTTCTGCTTTGGTTTTTACCCGACAAGAGGCTCAAGAGTGCAGCTGACTTAAGGTAGCTCTTTACAAGGACAATATTACGGCATCATGAGTAAGAACCTTTTACCTTGGCTTTGGTACTTTGTCTTCAGGTACAGCTGTCCAAACAGAGTCAGGAGTCTTTTGTTCTTTAAATCTCCCTTTGAAGACTTTCTCAA